ATATTTAGAAGTTTCTTTGCAACATTTAAGAAATTGAAAACCTTAAAAATTTATAAATGTATCAATATAAGCTTAAAAAAGATTGATCAAAACACATACAAAAAGAATAATTTTTTTCTTAATGTATTAATTTATTCATGACTTTTATTATCACTAACGTTGAAATGATTCATCTATTCAAATCAAATTTGGCCTTTATTATCTTTTTACAGCCGTTAGTATCTTTCATTGTTTAATTATATAGATTTAAAACTGTACTTGTTATAAAACCGTTTCAGCTATTTAGTTTTTCATCGTACATCGTTATTCGTAATTCATTGTTTTTGTCATAATTACTTTATACTGCCCCAGTTAATATCTATAGATATATTAACAATTCGCATTTGTAAACATGTCATTACATAAAACATGGAATTATAACATAATAGAAAATAACTGCAACCATATCCATTTGCATGTATGTGTTTAATGGAAATGCATGTAGTAGTTAAGTAACTCACGGTGTATGACTCATTTGATTTATTGATTATTTGAAGAATAAATAAAATATATAATATTAGTTTGTGTGCGAATTGTCTAATCACATATTATATCTTAAGAGTAATTAATTTTTACGGATTAACAAATATTCCGTGTCAAATTTATAACATGTACCTATATAACAACTTTTGAACCTTTCATTTAACTAATACATTAAATGTAATTAACTTTAATTGCTTTTTAAACATTAACAAAATTAAGTGTTGTCCTAGCTATATAGGTCGTTTGCAAGTTGATAAATAAGAAATTATGTTATTATTCTTATTAAAAATGTACTTATATACGTTTTATAATAAAATTTACCTTGTAAAATACTCCACGTGAATCTGATTTTTAACTTATAAAATATTAGGTAATAACAATGACATGAATTTTACAAATATTCTTAATTACATTAATGTAATTCAATAAAACTATTTTTCTATAATTTAATATTACACTATTAGTTTTCATTTAAATTTGTATAAATTTATGTAAATACATTTAACGGTAGAAGAAGAAATTTAAAAGTTAGTGAGCTTGATTCCAAAGATGCCTCTTCACTCCGAATTAATATCCTTAGTTGTTATAATGGGAAGCATCATTGCTAATGTGTTAAATGCTACATTGATCATCATCAACTACAAGTAAGGATACTAATCTTTCATCATTTCATTTGTTTTATAAAATCATTAAAATGTTTGTGTTCATCGTGTTATGTTCAAGATTTAACTTGATTTTTGTTATATATATGGTTTAATTTACAGGATTACGTCGAGATACATTAGATGGTAGTGAAGATCGAGTAAGGGATCTGCCTCCAAGAGGTGGTCATCAAGGAGGTGCAGGCAATTCAGGGTACATGGGTGGTAGACAAGGTCGTCCTCCAACTCAACGTAGAGATCGTAGAGATGAACGTCGTCGAACAACCGATGATGAAGATACTGTTCTCGATAGTCAAGACGTTTCAAGCATTGACAGAGGTAATAATACTTTTCCGATAATAGTCTACGGTAGAATAGCCGTTTCGTCCTAAAGATTGGTAAAATCTTTTGAGAGTAGCATGGAGCATTGTTGTGAAACAAACACTTGTGACCATCTAACACTAATAATATCAATGATTACTAATGCACGCTTACTAATGCGATATAGCTTATAATCACTTCTAAAAATATTTGAACTTCAGTAATGCTTTTATATTATATTATAAAAAGATGGTCACAATGGTTTGCATATGCATAGAATCTGTATCAAGTGTGGAGGGAGGACCTAAAGGCATGAGGCGAAGACGACTTCGACGTTCTCGACAACGTAGTTCTACACCAACAAATAACCAAAAAGGTAATCACGCGAAATTAAAAAACTTAATTCAATGTAATTTTCCTTTAGGACGATCGGTTTTGATATAGTATAAAAATTAAGTACAGTATTAAATAAATGTTTTAGAATGAGCATTAATGTTTACACAGTAACACTCAGAGTTAATCTACATATTTGTTTAGGCAGCAATGCTGGCCCAGGAGATCAATCAACTGTAACTAGTAAAGAAGGAACACCAGCAAATGACGTTTCTACTACTAACAACAGTTCCCAAGGGCCTAAAGGCCAAAGAGAATTACGATCTCGTCATCCTCGTATGCAACAGAGCAATAAGCCTAAGGAAGCTCTGGTTAATGGTACCAGTGGCTAAATAACCATTATGGTCAACAACTGCTACTTACATATAACACTACACCTGATGAGAGCTATTAACACCCAGCACATAACATGACGCATACCTCCGCAAGGACTACACGATTATGGATCGCGACATGATTAGTCTACGCTCGTTGTTAAGACTGTTTGCTACCGATAAGAATATGACAATTGTTTAAGAAATCGTCATTCTCCTTAAACACATTTAAGGACACATATTAATATCCATGCATGGTTTAGTTTAATGATAGTAATTATGCTATCATGTTTGATATATGGATACATTCATTGGGAGATAGTAGAAGCATCTGGTAAAAAGGAATCCCCTGATTGTGAAACTGTGCCTCATTTTTATACCAAGCTCCCAACTTGTGTGACAGTAATTCGGATGTACTATAAAGTACTTCTTAATCTTGAGAAATGATCTAATAATAGGCTGGATATTCGTGGCTCGTATGTCAATTATCAATTTGAATAATTTTCGCCTAGATGTGTCGCTATATTCATAAAAAAATAACACAATACGTACAGAAATGCAGGATATAATCAGTTTTAATGGTTCCTTTTTGTTCTTTTTCTTAATTATTTCTTTTATCACTTTTATCAATGCGATAATTGTTAAAAATAATAAAAAAAATATTAACATATTTTAACATATGTTATAAGCAA